ATAAACAAAAAAATATAAATTAAATATTACTCCATACATATCCACATGGGACTTAATTCTCACTTACCTCAGCGTGTGTACTTTTTGATTGCCTTTTGTTCTCTGTCCGTTTGCGTCCTCACACTCGCGGCGACAACAACAATAACAACGTCGACGTTGGGCTCAATGCAGCGACGTCGACGACGATGTTGGCGCGCCTGCAACTGCTGGAGCCTGTTTTGTTTTTGTTTGTTTGGCAACTTGCTTTTGGCGTTGAAAATCGTCTGTATGTATGAGGATTTTTGTGTGAGTGTAAATGCGTTTGCTTGTGTGTGTATATATGTGGTTCTGTGTTTTCTCTGCAACGCGTGGGTTTGCTCGCAATAGAATGCACACAAAATGCAATTGAAAAATACTTTTTGATTTTTATATTTGTTTCTTGCTTTCAACCATTCACTTTTGATTTAAGTAACTTGCAAAAAATATTGACGATCACGGATGCTATGGCGTTAATAGCAGATAATGTCAAAATGCCTATTCGACACCCTCGTAGTTAAGAGCTTAAAACGTGCAATGCACTCTTATACACACACACGTGTATGTACGTATGTATGAAAGAGCTGGATTAGCGCGCTGCAAGTCGGCGTCTAATTAGACTTCTCTTATCAATTCAATTAGTTTTTTTTTTTTGTTTTGTTTTAGTCAACTTTAAAAAAAAATTGTATATCAACTTTTCTGAAGTTGTAGCAAAATTCAGTATTATTATGTTTTATTTTTTTTTTTCAATAAGAAAGGTATTTGGGGTATAAGACTTGAAATATCCGTAACGAAGCGCACACGACAACAATTCCACTGAGAGTAACATCTGTTATTTGGTGTGACTGAGGGTTTATATCGGAGGGAAACACACTACTATTGCCAGCTCAAAAAAAAAATACTAAAAATATGCTGAAGATGTGCACAAGGGCTGGTCATATTGTTTTCGGCGCTGCCATAGTCAATATTGCTAGTGCGCGAAAAAAAAAATATATAAACAGCAGCGCATTTATGAACTTTAAATAAAAATTAAATGTATGTAATAGTAATAGCATTGTAAAAGATATATTATGAAACAATTATTTAAGTTGGCAATTATTTGTTGTGAATAGGAAAAGGTTGGCTCGATTCGAGTCAGTTTTCAAATTAGCATTGAGTTTCTGAAAACGATCTTCATCTTAATATAATCCTTGCGGATTGTAAGTAAGTAAAGAACCATCTTTAGTTTTTGTTTATTTTTTTTTTGTTTTATTTTTTTTTTGTTTTTTTTTTTTTNGGTATACTCTTCACACATAAGGGTAGGCATGGGCTCTCGCTGCGAAGAAATTTCAATTTGTGAGCGCTGCTTGTGCTCACATGCATACATACATATACATATTTGAGAGAGCAGAGAGCAGAGAGCATCGTGAGAGAGAGAGAGCAAGGGAAACATTCAGCGCAGATGGATCCTTTGTTCAACAGTCGACCATCTCGGTCGAGCGCATGAAGCGAAATGATTGTGCTTTCGTATKTTTTCGTAGCYCGAAYCCAAAAAGTGARGAGCCGAGCAAATACGAAGTGTCTGGGAGATAACTCCCGAAAAAAAGTGTGCAAAACGCTTTACACTACTTGTCCGGTCTATGTGTTCTCTGGTTAGTGGATGTATTTACAGTGAAGAGGTGCATGTTACTCGATATATCTATTATGGTTGTTATCGAGC